GTATTGGAAAAGTTTATGATGTTTTTATTTCCAAGAAATTTTCTCGGTTGGGAAAACGGTTTAGGTTTGTTAGATTCTTCGGAAAAGTTAACATAGGGGCTATGCAGTTATTGCGGTCCAAAATCTTATCGCGGTCACTTGCCGCGATTTAAAATAGCGGTTCTCGCAGTGGGATAGCGGTTTATATATATATATATATATATATATATATATATATATATATATATATATATATATATATATATATATAACCACAAAGAGTCATATAAAATGTAAAAACACATAACATAGTTATACAAGGTCCACATCCACATAACATATATTAAAAGAGTCTAAATCAAATTTCCAAACAAAAGATCAATTGCAATCCACTGGTTCGGCTTCCGAGTCAACATCGTCTAATGCATTCACTTCTACATCAAGGTCCACATACACATCATCTTCCACTTCAACTCTAGTCTGGTCATTATCATCATCATCATCATCTCTATAACGCTCCGTTTTGCTCCTTTTACTAGGCCCGATGTCTACATTTCCACCCATCGCTTCTCGCACATCCGACCAAAGAAGACCATCACGTGCATCCACAAAGTCTTGAAGTTCAGCCTCTGTCGGTATCGTCCACTCATCATTTTCCTCTACATATCTCAACACAATAGGATCAGTTGTGTTGCTTTTTAGAGATTCAAACCTCCTTTGTAGCCTTGTGTTATATTGGATAAACACAAGGTCATTGAGTTTTTGCTGTATAAGGCAATTCCTTTTCTTGGAGTGTAACTAAAAGAAAAAAAAATATAAAAAGTTAGTTTGAGTTTCAAACTTTCAATTAAACTAATGTAATCTATAATTTATAAAAAAAATTTGTTAAAAAGACTTGCATTGTCAAATGTACTCCAATTGCGTTCACAAGGTAAAGCACTACACGTTTAACTAAGGACCTTGATAGCAAAAAAATTAAGCAAAAAAGTATCGATCCCATAAGAACGCCACCAAAATCCATATTTAAAAAATAAACATAAGTTAATAAAAAATAATAAATAATAAGATTTGATTGGATTATAGTTTTTTACTTACACAGTGCAACTTTCATTCTACTTCTTTTAGCGGATGCAGATCCAAATTGGCCTTCTGAATCAATGTAGATATTCAATTGTTGTCTTAAAAGATCATTCTCATCTTCATCGGGAACAAGACGGTCGATGGCAACATATAGTCCCGTCACTATATCTTTATTTTTCTCAGTCTCTGAATTTTCTCCATGAAAAATGGCAGTATTAAGAAAACATCCAGTTGCACATTCATTAAAATATTAAAACCAAACAATAAAATTAATTTTTAATTTCCATCAATAAGTGAAGTTTTATACCTACATGTAATGGATGATGAAGTTGGTCAGACCATCTTGGTTGAATTAGGCCCACCTTTTAGATTATAGACAAAATTGTACTCTCCATCCTTGCATTAGGCCCACCTTTTAGATTTTTGCTTATTTGCTCTTTTGTTCAACTCATTGCATCATAGATATAACCTATCACAACTGGCATTTTAGCTAGAAAATTCTATTCTTGTGTAATCATTCAACTATTGTAAAACACATACTCTAAGTAAATATCACCCAATGCTCATTTAAATTCACCTCTCATGTTCAACAAAGAGTCTGCAAACCCTAAGAATCGCGATTTAAGTCCATATTAAACTAGGACTTCCTTATTGGGCTTAAAGGACCAATAAGCATTCAATTCAACTATTTTGGGCTTGGAAACCCTATTTGGATTCTAAATGGACCCACTTCACAAATCTATAACATGTTGGACCATTTGGGCCTAGAGTGATTCATTTTAATCCTAATGGGCCTTATTAGGCCATAATTAATCCAATTAACCCTAGTAAGCCATAAATCCATTCTCTTATGCCATTTTGGGATGTGATCTACCCTAAAGGTCTAATGGGCCGAAAAGTAATTATCAGGCCTCATAATTTCGATCTAAGGCTAGAAATGGGCCAAGCTAATCTAATTCCCTTCTCTTTAGCTCATTTTCAGCCCAAGTAAAATAAAAAGAAAGAGAGATAAATGGCTAATTAATCCAAACCTTGACACATCACTTTTGTTTAAAGGATAACCAAGCTTAATGCATCACATACATCTAGACAAGTCCCATATATCCATGTACACCTTTCTCTTTCCCTTCTTCTTCTACTCTCAGATGAAGGTAAACACACACACACACACACACATCTTCAAATTTCCTTCAAACTCTCTCAAGCTCTCAAGAACAACTCCTCCTTCATTCCTAAAATTTTTGAGATTTAGGGTGTTTCCAAGGGGATTTTTCACCACAATCACTATCATTGGTAAGTTATTATCAAACACAAACATCTCCTTTCAATTTAACATTAAGAACTTCTTCTTACATAGCGTTATTCCATGATCACACTCTTAGAAACTTCTTAAGCTTGAAATCTACTCAATGAGCTTGCTAGAGCCAAAAATCACATCAACTTCTTCCAGCTTTTCTTCAAAACCGAAACATCAAAGCAAAGGCGAGATTATACGCCATTGTTTTCGATTTTCATATGCGTTTTGGGGGATAATAGAAGTAAAATGTGTAGGTCTATGTGTTATATGCAAGTCTTGTGCGATTTCTTAGTTTAGTTTGTAAAAATGTGTTAGATCTTAGCATACCTCGACGTCTTAAGCAACTTTGAGTAAGAATCCATGAACTAAGACACCTTATACATCACATTGTCAATTTAAAAGAGTTCATATGTTTAAGATATAAAATTTTAAAGCAAAAACCTTGTTAAGGGTCCAAATTTTTCAAGAAATCAAAAGATAAGGGAAAAAGTGACAATTACGGGTTTTAGAGGATCAAACAGGTCCTACTTGTATAAAAAGGGATTTTTAGGATAAACATGCTTTCCAAAGGGCCAAAAATGAAAATTTTAGCTTAATGGGCTTAATATTTGAGCCTCGCGGTTTTGGGCTCAAATTTACGAAAAAAATGAAATTTTCTGCGAAACTGAGCCATAAATTTCAAAATATAAATTTTTGGACTAAAGTGTCATTTTTTACAAAACTTTGGGCCTTAAGTGAAAATTTGAGGCTTATTGGCCAAGAACGTCGTTTTTACAAAAAGAGAGCTTTTTAATATTTAATTCGGTAAACATCGAGCTAAAGCAAACAATGAGATAATAACGAATAGACAAAATACATCGATAACAATTTTATTTGGCCTAATATTTACATTGCATGGCCAATGGGCCTTAAGGTCCCATTCAAGTGTATATTGAGCCCAATATTTTCCATGACATGTTTATTGGGCCTTGCGACCCATTACATGTTAATTTGGTCCTGAGCTATGGGTCACATGTTTGTTGGGCCTTGGTGGTCCACTTAGATGCCTATTGGGCCTAAATTACCCTCTTACATGCTATTGGAACTTTTTGGTCCATTTACATGCTAATTGGGCCTAGACTGAAATTCACATGTTAGTAGATCGTGGCTATACCTTTACATAATTAGTTAACCTCGTATACTTATATACATACCTTTGGATTTGAAAACATACAACATTCACATAAACATTAATCATGGTGAAATATATTACAAACATGAAAGGTTGAGAATCTAGTGAGACTTGTCGGTTGGCACCTTTGAGTGTACAATCGTAGCCTATAGTTATAACTAGAGTTTCCCGGAGTGAGAGTGGGAGTTTGTGTATAGATCTATATGGGGTTACCCCCTAAGCCTTAGTTGTTCGCTACAGCTAGACTAGGCCAGTCTAGGGCGACAAAACCTTGAGCAAATACCAACAATTGGAAAATGCCAAGACATGCAATCTAGTCATTATTATGAATGATTATAACGGCTCATATAGAGATCCAACACCAATTCAACATTTCGGAGATTAAACCTTCGAATGTGATAATACAAAACAACTTATTTGATGATACAAGAACCTCAACATTATATTAAATCAGAAAATATCGGATTTTCTGGGGAAGTATTAAGATACAATTATCACTTATGTACAATACAAAGAAATTTATACTGCATTCATATATGTTACTGCTATGAAATTCACGCATGCATTTATACTCGATTTTTACATCATTTTTAGACATTTTACAAAAAATATCGGATTTTCTGCGGTTTTACAAAAGATACCAAGACTTTTATTCAAACATACTTATAAACTCACCAACATTATATATGTTTACCGTTTTCAAAATAACTTGTATTCTCAGGAAATCGTTAAGCAGGAAGATTTTCAAGAGTGTATGGATTTATTTTGTGTAACATCACCCATCGTACTATTAATACTTTGAACTTATGTAATTTATAACAATGTACTTGATGTGAACAAGGTTGGTTATAATATTTAATGTTGGCGACGAATGTGTTATGTTTCATGTATATTCGTTGTGATGATAATTCAATTGTTAGTCACACGAGCCCTCGAACGTTTCCGCCGTCTGGTTAGGGGGTGTGATAGTTTGGTATCAGAGCAATGTTTATAGTGAACTAGCGTATCTAACCATACCTGATATGCAAATATAAACACAATGGGACTAAACTCTGAACAAAACAAAAATCTCACACATATGTGTGCATATCAGGATAATAACCTAATAATACTTAATAAAAGCTTCTGGAGGAAATTGAACACTATGATTAAACATGGACAATTATGTAGTCCTATTTAGGGTAAATATAGCCTGATCAACTATATTTATTCAAAATATAACCAACATGTGTTTGGGAGTAATCATACCAGGAAATGAATCCAAAAGCCTACCTCACTGTCCAACAACCCTAGGGAACCCAAACGTAAATAATTAAAAACATACTATAAGGGTAATTAAAATATGATTCATTTATTCACTCTCATGCAGTTAGTATGGCTAGTTTCCACCACCCCGGAGATCCTTATTTTCCCAATCAGTGAAATAATGGATGGCTAGAGGAATCTGAAGAAAACCCCAAAGGAGGCCCTGTCATGGGTCAGGAGGTGGAACCCGAAGTGGAACCAAAAGAATATGTGGTAACTGATTACGAATATGGAGAATCTGACCAGGAGATAGATGAAGGAAAGGATGTTGAGGAGGGACGTAGTGAACCCCACCTATCGACAGCCCCATCAGATCCACACACGGTTCAGAATGGTGATGCATACCATTTACGCTCTCTTGAGGAAGAAAAAACCAATCTCAAGCATCAACTCTTTGCATCCGAAGCAAGGGCTATACGAGTCGAGCAAAGGGTAGAGGTAATCACTCAAGAGGGAAATGAACCGGCTGAACTTCTGATACGTCCGCTCGACGATTGAGTGTCATCGTCATCACTACTGATGGAACTTTCTCTACTACTTGCTATATAGGTATCATAGTAAGTGGAACCAGCCATATCTCCTACTAATATTGTGTTTCTTCTAACATGTACTACCCTATGTACTATCGACTCTATGTTTACGTGATCACACTACTCATAGGGTCGTCATGTTGCCAGATTTTATATTTCCTTATGTACTGTATGCCTTCAGGCAAAATTTCATGTATCAAAACAATTAGTATTAACGAAAATTCTTTATGTTTTAGCATGATGTTGTCATCTGCCATGTGTTTTACTTCCTTGTTTTATGTTAATGCATGAAATTACTTAAATACACACACTATACGCCTAGTCTAGGGGATTTCAAACTCGCAAAACAATAGGCACTCAACATCTTTCCGTTTCATGATAGAAAGATGCCTCAAAGGACCAACCGTGGAAACAACGCAACACCAACCCCACCGGAAATAAACTTGGTGTATTCCAGGCAGCAGTGTCCGTTGCGGTCACTGCGGCACTTGTGCAGATTCGCAATGGAAACAACGAAGAAGGAAATGGATAGGGAACCGGAAGCACAAATCAAGGAACAAACCAGGGAGCCGCACAAACATGCACCTACACGGACTTCACCAACGCCAAACCTCGAACCTTTAATAGGACATGAGGTATAATAGCCCTGTAGAGATGGATCGAGAAGGTAGAATCCGTTTTTGAAATATGTGGGTGCCCAGATGAGTGTAAGGTCAAGTTTGCAGCCTGCACATTCATTGATCAAGCCATCTCCTAGTGGAATGGCCACATAGAGGCCATGACACTCCCGGTGGCGAATGCGTTGCCCTGGGAAGAGCATAAGGAAATGATGTTGGCAGAATACTATCCTAGAGGTGAAATTTAGAAGATGGAACAAGATTTGTGGAACCTCACAATTCAAAACTCCAATATCGATGCATACATATCCAGGTTTAGTGAGCTATCTCTTCTATGTCCGGGAATGATCACCTCAAAAGGGAAAAAGATTGATAGGTTTATGTGGGGACTGAGTACACCTATCCAAGGGAATGTCATTGCAGGAAACCCTAAGACGTTTGATAGTGCCAAGAGATTGACCAAGAAATTGTATGGTCATGGAAATAAGAAGGGTGCCAAAACAGTAGAAGCGGAAGTCAAGAAAGAAGGTGAGAACAAGAAAGGTAAAAAGAACAAGAGAAATGGGAAACGGAACTGTAACACCCTTAATTTAACAACACCAAGAAAGGAAAGGAAACCCTAAGTGAAAGGGGGTCAACTCGTCGAGTCCATGGAGAAACTCGACGAGTCGAAGCGGGCTATGTGTCACATTTTAAGTGACCGACTCGGCGAGTCGGCGGAACGAACTTGGCGAGTCAGGTCTGGGTTAGGAAACCCTAATTTCAGGACCCAACACCCTATTTAAAGAACATTTTAGGCCTCTAACCGAGCCTCCATCACTCTCCTCACCTACCCTCGAAACCCTAAGCCTCCATTGAAGTGCTATTAAGTTTTCCTTGCCATTTTTGGATGATTTGAAGCTAGAAGGAAGAAAGGAACCTTTGGTGATTCAAGAAGAGGCAGTAGATCCGAAGTTGGTGTGAGATCTAAGATCATTTGAAGGTATGAAGCTTATACCTTGGCTATTGTTCATCTAGATCCCCTTCTTAGCTTAAATTTTGTCCCTTTTGTGCCATTTCCATGGTTTATCCAAGTTATACGCCCTTGGGGATGTATTAGACTTCAGATCTGATCACTTCTGAGCCTTGGGGGCTCTAAGTGAGAAGCTTTATTCAGGTATGGCTTCATTTTATGATTTGGACCTCCATTCTAGTTGGGATTTGGTGTTCTAGTCTCATAACCCTTTGCATGCACATAAAGTTAGCAACTTTACGTGTAATGCTAGTCCTAGGAGTCTAGATCTATAATTGGGAAGCAATGGACTGGGTTGTAATCGAAAAAATTGAAGATGTTAAGGGTGGACTCAGCGAGTCTGTTATTGCAATCGGCGAAGTGGGTCGAAACCCTAATCCCTTTTGGTTCCGAGTTAGAGTGGTGAGTTGAGAGGTGACTCAGTGAGTTGGTTAGGACAGAACTCGGAGATTGGAAGACTCGGCGAGTCATGAGGTGACTCGGTGAGTCGAGTCGTTACTGGAAGGATTTCTGAATTTATAAACTCGGTGAGTCATTAGGCTGACTCGGCGAGTAGGGTCAACATGGAAGGTTAACTTTGACTAGGATTTTGACTTTGACCAATTGACTTAGTTTGAATTCTGTAGGTCATTTTGGGACTAAGTGTTATATTGATATTAGTAGCTCGGGGAGCTTGAGGAGCAGCGGTTCGGGGAGATTGTCAATTAGCAGCCAGAAGTGTAGTAGCAAGAGTTTCAGCAGTGTATGGTGAGTTTTACCTTTGTGTGGATGGGTCTACGGCCACAATGCCGACCTATGTAGTTATGAGTAGGAAGACCCGGGGGTCATCCCTAGGCACTGTATGCTAGTATGATATTAAAAACCAAGGTCTAATGTTAGCGGGCAGGTGCCCAAGGATCGGTTTACATGATAGTTTATACTTCTTGTCTATGTGATACATGTATGTGCTTGGTAGGGGGTGAGTGTGGGCGAGGTCCCGTATCTCACCAATAGCAGAGGGTGGATGGTGTTCCATAACTCATTAGTAGCAAAGCAGGGGAGAGGCCCTAGATAGGAATAGAGTGAGTGTGGGCAGGGGCCGTATCTCACTTACAGCAGGAGCTTGGACGGGGTTCCATGACTCATTAGTAGCAGGTCAGGGGCGAGGCCCAAGATAGGTGAGGCCTTAGTACAGGAATGCAGTAAGGTATGTTCAGTTTATGTGCTTTATGCTATTTTTATATGTAGTATGTGTTCAGCGGGCGGGGCCCAAAGACAGGCGGGGCCTAAGAAAAATAGATTTGTATCCAAGCGAGGCTCAAAGACAGGCGGGGCCTGGGATCGGCGGGGCCGATGTAGTGGGCGAGGCCCAAAGTAGCGGGCGTGGCCCAATATATGCAGTATGTGATTATGCAGGGTATGTGGTAGGTTGGGGAACTCACTAAGCTTCGTGCTTACGGTTTTCAGTTTTGGTTTCAGGTACTTCTAGTAGCGGAGGGAAGAGCTCGAGGTGATCGCATAGCACACACCATTGATTAGTCAGTCTGGGATGTTTTACTCTGATAATGGAAATATGTTTTGGAATTAACACTCTGAATTATGTTAGGATTTTATTTATGGTTTGTCAATTATGTTTTAAGTGATGTTTTAAAAAAGAAATTTTTATTTATTATTTTGGGGTCATTACAAGGACTCGGACTCATCTAAGACGCAACGAACGGTGACTGTCCATGCTGCAACTCAAGCTACCACCACACCACATGCTCCAGCCTCATCCATGCCAAATGCTCTAAAGCAGTATTTAGGAAATCTCCCCAAGTGTAACAAATGCAACTTCCACCATCACGGGGAATGAAGAGAGATGAATTGCACAAGGTGCAACTAGAAGGGCCATACAACAAAGTATTGTAGGGCTCAGTTTCAACAAAACCAGATGCCAAACAGCAACAATAGCAACAGTAACAACAACAAAAATGTCAGGGCCAGTTATGCATGTTATGGATGTGGAAAAACTTGGCATATCATGTGAAATTGCCCCAATGCAAACAATCAAGGGACAAGAGCAACATGGAGAGTGCTAACAATGGGTCAGGGTGAAGCAGTGCAGGACCTAGCCGTTGTTACCGATGCGTTCCTACTTAACAACTCGTATGCATGCATCTTATTTGATAGTGGGGCGGAGCGAAGTTTCGTTAGTAATAAATTAAAATACTTGCTAAATCAACAACCCCAAAAGCTCAACGAAACCTTCACGGTGGAAATGGCTAATGGGAAAACTGAAACAACCAAAGATATCTATATAGGATGTACGTTAAGACTAAACAACCACACTTTCCAAATAAATTTGATACCGGTAAATATTAGGAGTTTTGATGTGATCATCAGCATGGATTGGTTAAGCCCCCATCATGCTGATATTATGTGTCACGAGAAGGTTGTTCGCCTTCATCTTTCTAATCACGAAACCCTAATAATCTACGGAGATAAACTCAGTGCAAACCTTTGCCTCATCTCGTATGTCAAGGCACAAAAGTTTATACAAAAGAAGAACTATGCATTCCTTGCTCATGTGGTGGATAAATCTAAAGAGTAGCGAACAATCAAAACATTCTAGTGGCATGTGACTTCCCGGATGTGTTTCCAGAAGAACTTCCGGGAATACCCCCAGAACGAAAAATCGAATTCAGAATCGACGTAGTGCCTAGAGCCACTCCAATCGCCGAGTCGCCCTATATGGGGAGCTCCGATTCTTTTTGTTAAAAAGAAAGACGGATCCTTCAGAGTGTGCATTGACTATAGGTAACTGAATAAGCTCACCATCAAAAACCGGTATCCACTTCCACGAATCGATGATCTATTTGACCAGCTTCAAGGGGCTAGTTACTTTTCGAAGATAGATCTGAGATCCGGTTATCATCAACTCAAGGTCCGCGATGAGGACACTTCTAAGACTGCTTTCCGAACCCGTTACGGTCATTATGAATTCATCGTGATGCCCTAGAATAAATAATAAATATTTATTTGATAAATCTTATTATTTATCAACTTAAAATAAATAAAGAAAATAAAGTAGTTTTGTTCTATTTAATTAATAGATCAAAGAATAAATAGAAAGGTGTGTTTAATAATTATAAAATGGTTTTTATTAATTCAACTTAAGTTGTAAGCTTTCTTTAAGTAATTGGCCATTAACGGCGTTGGAAACCTTATCTAACAAGAATAACATTTAAGGAAGGATTAGCAAAAGTAAGTGAATCGATAATTGGGAGCTGATTTGTACATAACAAAAATTCTTCTTAGACAACAATTTGTGCATTAAAATGTTGTATTATACAACTTTATTAAGCATAAAATATTGTG